TCGAATGGTGATGGTCTGCCAAGCAGCCCGATTAAACTTGTTACGAGAAAATTAAATAATAAGTAAATTTAGTAACTCAAAACTATTAAGTACATTCTACTTATTAATGCATAACAACAAAATATTGGAGCGTGAACTATGAAAAATAAAATAATTATGATTTATTATAATAGCAGTATGATAAGTGTCATCAAGTTATAAAGTTAGATCAATATCACATTACATACATAAAAAGTATCATCTATTCTAATATGCTGTTCACAATTATTTAAATGAAAATTGCAAGCAATATATTTATCTTCCAACATCTCCATGAGCAAGTTGTTGCATGGTCTGAATACAACATCATTGTGTAATGCTAAGGCGTCCCCTGAAAGCGACGTGGTGTATGGTCTGAATACAGTGAAAAATTTGCAAAGACCGCTACACCGGTGCTCAGATGTAGAGCCAAATAAGCAAGAGTTCTCACATTACAGACGAATGCGAAAAAAGAAGTTAGTTCATAATACTAATATTATGATAGGATCTTGGAATATATGTGCTCTCACAGATAAATTAATGTAATTAGAAATATAAATATCTTATGTATTCAGAAACTAAATGAGTTGGAGAATATGCTAAGAAGAATGATGACTTAGGTTTTAAACTTTAGTATTCATGTAAGAGTCATACTTGAAATGGTGTAATTGTAATTATAAATAAGAGTTTGAAATATAATGTTGTAAAAACTAATAGAATTGTAGATAGAATTATAGCCCTTAAGATTATCGTTGATACTAAGGTTTTTAATATTATAAGTGCTTATGCACCTCAAATAGGCTTAGATATAGGTTCTAAAAAAAATCTAAAATGACCTAGAAAACTTTACAAATGATACCTCTTGAAGAAATAATTTTTATCGGAGAAAATTTAAATGGACATGTCGGTAGAGTGGTGGAAAACTTTAGAAATATTCATAGTGGTTACGGTTTTGGAGTGATTAATGAAGAATGTAGAGCCAAATTAGATTTTGTTTTAGCGTATGGTTTTGTTAGTGCTAATACTTTATTCAATAAAAGAGATGAACATAATATTAATTATAATAATGGATTAATAAAACACAAATTGCTTATTAAAAGAGATTGTCGAGAATGTGAAGTTTGTAATGTCATTCCAAGTGAGGATTTAAGTACTCAAAATCGATTATTTGTTCTAGATTTTAAGATAAAGAGTTGTAAAATAAATAATAAGAGAATCATTGTCATAGAATTAGATGAGGACAAAAATATTTATATGAGTAAACTTCAAGATTTCAAGATTTGGGATGTTCATGAAGAAGCAAAGTCCATATAAGATAAAGTAACAAACACTAGTATACAAGTGACAAAAGATGTGCTTGGAGAATCATAAGAAAAAGTTTCTATAATTAAATATAGATGGTGATGGAATAATAATGTGCAACAAAAGATAATATATAGGAAGTTATGTTATAAAAATTGGTTTAAATGTAAGAGCTTAGAAAACTAGGAAAACTACAAAATAGATTATCGGGAGTCTAAAAGAATAATTTGTGACGCTGAAAATTCTACTTTTAGTTTTCCTTATAATATATAAGATATTAAACATAATGAAAAATATATATATAAACAAGCCAAACAAAGAGAAAAGAAAATTAAAGACTTAACTCAAGTAAAGTGTATTAACGATGAAAATCAAAAAGGTGTTTTTCTTGGAAAAGATATTCAATATAGGTGGGTGAGTTATTTTGATAAACTTTTTAATGAAATTTCTGAAAATGTGATCGATCTTTGTGATTTTAATATGTTAGTAATAATAAAATGTTTCATTTTTATTTTTGCATTAGTACAAAGAAAGTTGATAAGGTTTTAAAAAAATCAAGGGTGGAAAGTCTGTAGAACCTGATAATATCCTAATTGAAGTGTAGAAGTATATAGGAAATTTGAGAGTTTCTTGGCTTACTAAAATTTTTAATATTATTTTAAAAACAAAAAAGATGCATGAGGAGTGAAGGAAGAGTATTTTGGTCCATATTTTTAAGAATAAAGGGGATGCATAAAAGTGTACACATTATAGAGGAATTAAGTTGATGCATAAGAGTGAAGGCAGAGGGTAATTGAACATTGGTTAAGACGTATTACAAAGGTTTCTCGTAATAAATTTGGATTTAAGCTAGGCAGGTATACTATGGAAACTATACATTTATTAAGAGGTTTGATGGAGAAGTTCAGAAAGAACAAGGAGGTTCCATATATGATTTTTATTGATTTAGAAAAAGCTTACAATAAGGTTCCAAGAGATATCCTTTGGAGAGTTCTAGAGAACAAAAGTGTTGATATGATTTATATTTAAGTCATTAACGATAAATATACTAGAGCTATTACTTGTGTTCAAACAGAAGGAGGATTGGCCAATATTTTCCCATTTTAGTTGAATTACATTAGGGATCGCCTTTAAGCCCATATCTTTTTCTTTAGCTATAGATGTTCTTATTGAACATTCACAGGAGGATGGATATTGGTGTATGTTTTTTGCTGATGATGTTCTTCTCGTGGATAAGATTAGAGAAAAAACTCAGGAAAAACTTGAATTGTGAAGGTCTACATTTGAGTCTAAAGACCTTCTTTTGAGTAGACCTAAAACTGAATATATGGAATGTAATTTTAGTAGTAGTAGCTCTAGTGACAGAGTTGTAACTATAGGGGCTCAAATAATTAAATGGTATGAACGCTTTAGATATCTCGGGTCTATTGTTCAAAGTGATAATGATATAGATGTGGATGTTATTAGTAGAATTTTAGTTTGTTAGTTGAAGTGGAGGAATGCTTCAAGCCTACTGTGTGATAGAAAAGCACTGCTTATACTGAAAGGAAAATTGTATAAGATGGTGGTAAGACCTGCAATGCTCTATGGCGCTAAATGTTGGCCATTAAAAGAGAAGAATAAAAAAAAACTAAGTGTTGCCGAGATGAGAAGGTTTAGGTGGATGAGTGGCTTTCCATTTTGAAACAATGTGAAATGAATATATTCGTGATAGAGTTGTGGCTCCAGTGACAGACAAAATTAGAGCATTAAACATCGACCATCTGATGATCTGATTAGAAGAGTAGATGTTTTAGATTCTACTTATGTTGAGAAAGGCAGAGGAGATCTAGAAAGACTAAATAGTACCAACCAAGTACTAATTTGAAAGCCATAAATAAAACTAATCTTTAATCAATCACAAATGGGCAAAAAAATGCATTAAAAAACTCATAATTAATTAAAATATGTGCACCTTAGAAAACCTAGGTTATCCTCGAACCAAGTTAATTTTTATCCCATAACTAAACTTATAAGGCCTTTGCTTAAAATAACTTTTTGTTTTCTATTTATGTTTTTATTTTCAGTCAGTTTTGTTTTTATCTTGTCTTTGATTTTTTAGTTTTAGAAAATATGTATGGTACTATTATGACTTATATATTATTAAAAGCAAAAAATTTACAACATATGATTGATTCGGTTTTTTTCTATTTTGTTTTTAAACTATACCTTTTAAAAATTTAGTTAAACATAATTAGCATTTACATATATATCAACTAAATTTAATCTTTTGCATTTAGACCACCCTACTCTTTCTCATCAAAAAAATATCATCAGTTCCAACTATGTAAATATGTCAAAAATCGAGATATAAAAACTCATCGAAAGAAATTTAATTATAATATGTTTATAAATCTCATATATGTAGAAATTGTAATAACTACTAGCATGTCAATTAATTTTTTGGTGAATTATTGAAATTTTTTACTTATTTAATTATTTTACTAAGTTAAGGTTTTGTTAAATTGAAGTTTTAATTGACTTAAAATTTTATGGATTTCAATTAATTTAATTAAATATTTAATTAATTCATTAATTAGTATTTTAATTAAGTTGCTTAATGTTTTATTTAATAATTTATGTATTTACTAATATGCTTAAATAAATTAAGATTTTCATTTTATTATTATTAACTTAATTAAATGATTAATATTTTATTTATATTATTGTGGGTTTAATTGATTCATTATTAAGTTAATTAAATGAATTTCTTATTAAATTTAGTAACCATGAGTTAAATAAATTCATTTAGGTTCCATTTAATTAATTAATGATTTAATTATACCATTACTAGTTTAATTAAGTATTTAATTAAATGGTTGAATTTAAGTAATTTTTATAACTCCATTAATTTATTAATGAGTTAATTAAGCAAGTTTAGGAGTTAATAAGTGGATTAACGCCTTAATTAGGTTAAGCTAATTTCAGCCAATGATGATTAAACTAATTTAATATTTTAGGGCATAGTTCCGAAAAACATATTTTTGAAACAACTAAAATACATTTCGGTGTTTTTGATGTTATGAAACATGCCTCATGTGTTTTAAAAAGAAAATAAATAATAAATAAATAATGAATAAGTAAACAATATTTTTTTGTTGTTTTTTTTTTTGTTTTGTTTTCAAAAACATAAAACAAAAAATAGAAAGTGATCTCAAACAGAGCATAAGTAAATTATAATCTAAGACCAAACTAATATCTTTAAACACAATCAATTTTATGAATCTAACTATGATTTATGTTGTCCTAATCTAATAGATAATAAGTAATCCAATAAATATTTATTCTATTGCAAATTTAAGAAATTAAATTTAACTAACTTGAGTAGAGTATATAAAATAACTACTTCTCAAAAAACTAATGAAGGGGGAGGAGGAGAAGATGAAGAATATAAAGAAGACGAAAAAACAAAGAGATAAAAAGAAGATAGCATAGCATTTAGGTTTACTCAATTAATGGAGAAAAAGAGTGAGAAGAGAAATAACTATATTGCACTTTCGATTGAAAAAGTTCTTATGACTAGTGATACTCGAAATTGCTTCGAAGCTAACGGAAAGCTAACAAGTATACGTATCGTTCAAGTAATATACAAAATTAGAGTATGTATCAATCCCACAAGAAAACTAATCAATTTTCTCATCCAGTGTTCTAATTTACTAAACATCTAAGTCTTGTTTGAAGTATTTTTGTAATAAAGAAAGCCAACATATAAAATAAGTACAGGAAATTAAACCAGATAATCCATGCCCTGATTTACTCCTCGATTATATCCTTGAAACACAAGCACTCCACATGATCTCCCTCATACAAGCACTCTAATATCTCACCCTCTCCAACTCACCAAAACAGACAAAAAATAAAATAAAAACCGCTAGGAAATTCTCTCCTGAAAAAATTTAAGAAGAAAACTCTAGGGAACACAAAAAAGAAGGCTTTTCTAAGCTTAAAGAGGAACTTGTAGAGCCAGAAGTGTTTCTAGAGCTTCAATGCATGCGCTTATATAATCCGGGCCTCAAAAATTGCCTCAAAACCAGTCAAATTCAGTAAATCGCGGAACTAGGCGTACTCATTGCCACTACCCAAAACGGGCATGTCGCTTTCTCTGTGGGAAGGCATAAGCATAACGCCTACTTAGCGCGAGGGTGCCACCTCCTCTGTTGAGCAATGCGGGCATGCCACCTAAGACGCAGGAGTGCCAAGCCAACATCTCAAACCAATCCTCACAACAGGCGTGGTGGTGTCATGGCTTCTTTATCCATTTTACCTTCTTAGGGCTTAACACCTACATCCTGTAAAACACAATCAACACACCTTCCACAAATGTAAAATCATCATAATCAAGCAATAAAACATAGAATTAATCACAAAAAAACATCAAATTTTAGCTTCGCATCAGCTAGGACATCAGAAGAAAAGATTAAGGCTCAATTGAAGGGACCTAATGACTACAGCAGACAGAAGGGATGTAATGTCATAAGCTTTAAGGTTTGTTAAATCCAAGGCAACTGGATGTGGTAGGCATGACATTTGGACGTCAATTAAGGGTTGAAGTAGCCCATGTTATGGCAAGTAGCAAGATAGAGCGACTTGCGGGCAAAGGATTCAAATAAGAAGTTCAAGCGGTTTGATTTAGTGCATATTATCATCCTAGAAAAAAAATGGGCTCTAAATCTAGACCTTTATTTTGAAATAGATGGGGTACTTAGTGATCATCTTTTCTTTAATCTTTGATCTTTTTCTCATTTAATTTGGTTCCTCCAAAGTACTTTAACCAAAGAAATAGATAGGCGGTTAAATTGTCAAATCTCATGTTTCAAAAAAAACTTCAATCATTCCTCATAACTCAAAATCTTCTTGCATCACCAAGAGCGCAAGTTGAATTATTTAAAAATCATCATGCACATAATATCATGGAAGATAGACGTGAAAAATATTATGCACTCCAATAAGTCTTAGAGGAATGACCAAATAAATAGAATCTAACAACTCTCTTGATCATTCAAAAGGTTCAATGAAACAGGTTTAAAGTTTTCCACTATTGCCTAATCTTATAACTATATGAAAAATTTTGAACAAAAAATATAATCTTCTAATTTGAATTTAATCTCTCTATGCATGGGGTCAAAACACTTTTATGGCGCTCTTAATCTAAATGCAATCATTTTCAAATCTGATAAATTAACCAGTTGAGGTGCACATAAGTTTCCTCTCGCCAACCTCAAACTAACATAAAGTAGATCCATGCTCCATCCATGAAGAGCCTCATAAGATGTCAAGTCAGTATTAGCTTGAAAACTATCATTGTAGGTGAATTTTATAAATGGAATGTAAACTTCCTAGCTACCTCCAAAGTCAAGAATAAAAACTCTCAATAAATCTTAAAACATTTGAATGGTACGCTCTGACTAATCATTTGCCTAAGAATGAAACATAGTACTAAATTCTAATCTTGCATCTAAAACCTATTGTACTTTCTTCCATGATATAAAAGTAAGCCTCGCATCGCAATCAGACAGTAATAATTAGAATTCAGTGCAGATGAACAATATTATCCACAGTAATTTTTTACTAGCGTCTTCAAAAAAAAAAAAAAAGAAAAATCCATTTGATTGATATAAAATAAGAGGTTTTGGTGAGTCTATCAACCAAAAACTAAATTGTATCATAACCTTATTTTAATCAAGAAAACCAACTACAAAATTTACTGGGATTTTGCTCTCACTTCTATTCTGAAATAGAAAAATGTTGTAACAGATTACTGTCTTTGATGTACAACATTAACCATCAGATTAGTTAAATAGTGATGGACGAAGTTTGCCACATCATTTTTATATTAGGCCACCAAAAAAGCTTCCTAAATCTTAATACATCTTAATGCTCCTTCGAAGAACTAAAAATAGGTTGTGCAATTCTGTAAGTATCTCCTATCAAAGTCTAATAAGATCTAGAATATAACTAATCTTTCAATCACAATGTGCGCATGTGATTCATGATAAACTTGGGTTTCAGTTCATTCTCAACATGCTCTAAAAGTTGTATAAATTCATCTTCTTCAATAACAGTTGCATGAATATGATCTACTATTATTGGCCAAATAATTATGTGATATATGATAAAATTTCATTCTGGAGTTGCTACCTCAAATTGAAGTTGCACCATCTCAAGAATTAATTATTACTCCCGAGCGATCATCCAAGTTGCATAGGCAGAAATTTTTTTTTGCTCAAATCATCTGATACCACTCTATCGCACCACAAGTCTGAAAGGTGATCCACTCCTGCAACAGAAGACGTGGTAAAAGGCAGAACCTCAGCTCTTAAAATAATTTTTTGAGGTCAAAACTGCTTCCTACATGCTTTGTACTCATAAGAAATACAATTAATTATAAATAATAAAGATAAACAAAGTAAAATTAAAAATTGCATATTGTATTATCCGCGTCCATATCCCTAACACAATAAAGAAGCAATAAAATGCCTAATATTAAAAAAAAAAAAAAGTGTCCGCATCCATATCCCTAACACAATGAAGAAGCAATAAAATGCCTAATATTAAAAAAAAAGTGTAAGCAACAACTATATAAGTAAAAGTATCCAAACCTGGCAACAATAGAAGTAGAGCTACTGCATAAAAATAGCAAACGAAATCGTATTGCTAAAATATTTACTTCAATAGTTATGGCCGACCGAGCGACCTCATTGAATATATTATGAGAAAAATTTAAAGGTCAGTTTAAAAATTCAAACTCAGCAAATAACTCCAATTTATATAAATAATAAAGTATTTGAAGTGCAGCATGAACAATAAAAATTGTGTGATTCACTATATAATAAGAGTATAATAGATATCATCAAAGTATCAAGTTAGATTAATAACATACTACATAAATGCAAAAGATGAACTATTTTAATATAACTTTTAAAATTTTGATATCGAGATCATTGGCATGAAAATTATAAATAATGCATTTTTAATCTAACATTTTGATGTGCAACCATACAGGTATAATCAAACATATCTAAATATCACTAATTAGTAATTTCTCATTTTAGTATAAATGAATTTATCTATCTAAGACTAATTTCTTAAAACATTCTGAAACTAGAAAGGTAAACAACAACACATGAAAATTTAATAGTTTTCAATAGAGTGGTCACTTTGTGACCTAGTTAGCTAATAACTAAGAGAATTTTACCACATTTATACCACCACATATAAGCATATATTATTTAGATATCATAATCAAGTTTTAATAAATTTTTTTACAAATAATATGACCAGTGTTATTTATATATCGAAACATGAGTGGAAAAAAAAATTTATTCCATTTAACGAAGATAACATGCATTAAAAAAATAGATCTTGTGAATACAAGAATCAACTGAACATACATGAGTTTATGTGCTATTATATCAAGGCAAAGCTACATATACAGCTCGTTATTTCATTATGAATAATAAAAGAGATATATTGGTGTGACAAGTAAATGATAACAAATGCAACATTGACAGCCTATTAAATATCTGGGAATGTGATATTAGTGTCAATGATAATAGCCCTAACAAAGTTGTATTTCCTTATCACATAAGAAATCATAGTTACTTGGGCTGCAAGGTTTGAACCACGCTCCTAAAAAATCCAGCTAAATAATACCAAATGAGAATTAACTTGAAAGACCTAAATAATTTTTACCTTCAATCAATCACAAATGCACAAAAAAAGCCATTTAAAATTCATATTTAATTAAAATATGTGCGATTTAACCAACTTAGGTTACCTTAGGTCTGAGTTAGTTTAATTGTTTTTAAAAAATTAAATCTACAATTATAACTAAATTACAATCTAGTATAAATATATTATCTAAACACTAAAATTTCATGAATGTAGCCCACATTTATATTAACTTAATCCGTCAAAATATATGTAATCAAATAAACAACTATTTTACTCTAAATTAATGAAATTAACTAACATTATCAACTTAATTGGAGTGGGCGAATTGATAAGAAATCAAAGAAATAAAGAAGAGATAGTAAAAGAGGAAGAAGGTGAACAACATAAGGTTTGACAGACTTATAGGTTTGATTGTGATATAAGTTATAGCTGTTTAGCAAGATGACAATTTTTCAATAGATAATCCTTCGTATTTTTGCTAGTGAATAGGAATTTATTTTTGAAAGAAAGTAAAATTTGGGTGTCTCGGGCGATAATACAAAATTTAGACGTTGCAATTATTATTTGAAATATGTTTGAAATTGAAATAGATCAGATTTTGGTTGATACACAATCTATTATTTGTGTATGAATCTTACTTGGGGGATCATTTTGTAAAAAAATAGAGTATAGAACACATATCTGCTCTGCCAATCATCCTCCATGAGTTCAAGTCATAAAAGTAATATATTAGATGAAAATTTAGCAAAGCAACTTATTTCAAATGAATTTATTGATTGATTAAAAAGTTGTCATTTAGGTTATATTGTAAAAGCACTAGTCAAATTTCAGACTTCTGAGAGAATAAGAATCATTTCCACTACTTTTTATAATAGCTCATTTGCAATCCAATCATTATAATTTTCGTAACATGAGTCGTAATTATAAACATATTTTCATCTCCTATCATAAGACTTAATAGTCTCAAGCATACTATCAAAGTAATATTTGTCTTCTCATTTGTAATTAGAGCATAAGAAAATTTTTCTTTTTGAACAATCCAGCTTATTTGGATAATGCAATGCGAGGCTATCCAGGGTCACGCCCGGTTGACGGCGTGGCTTTACGCCGGTCTAGCTCCCCCTTGCTAGACCGGACCGGTCCAATATATTAAAATGCCAATCATTTTATTCACTCGCCCTCCTCCCCATCCCGCATCGGACGCTCCCCTCGCCTCCTTTCCTGTGCCCTAATCTCAGGCGGCCGCTGCTCCTAACCGTTGCACGCCTCTTCAAAGGCACTTCCTTCTCTTCTCTCCTCCTTACTTCCTAGGTGGTCTCCTTTCTTCCCTATTTATACAAGTTCTTTCTCAGGTCTAAGCAGTGATTTTTTGTTTGTGATTTTAGGTTTGCTCCTGATGTTTCCCTCTTTCGAGAGGGTTGTATCCTTTGGCAATGTAGCGCTCCAGCTGTATCCCGCCAAGGTGGTGTGCATCTCCGCTCCACTCCCTCCTCCCGGCGTCATCCGTCCTCCAGTACAGTCCCTCCGCTGCTCACGCAGCAACTCCAAGTTCTTCCCTGCTCTCCTCTAGTTGCTGCCTTCCATCCCGGCGCCTCCCCCGTTCGTTGCCTGTTAAATTTGGAGCTTGTTCCCGCCAACTTCACCTCATGTGACCTTCCCACGCATCCCCGCTTCTTCCCACGCGTGCCCGCGTTCCCGCATTCCTTCACGCGATCCCGCGTTCCCACTCTCCTCTCTCTGATTCACGATCCAAACCTTCCAAAATGGGTTGTATTGGAAGCCTTTAAAGTCTCGGCTGAAATTGAAGCAGGCAAGTGAACATCCCAACCTCACCACCTCTTCGGCTAAAGTGTACAGGGAAAAAGGAATAAAAACAAAAGGCTGCTCCATCCCCCTTTTGTTTTCTTCATTTTTCTGGCTTAAGGAACAGAAAAAGAGTTTTTGCTTTTCCCTTATTCTTCTTCACGTGGCTTTGGTAGAGAGAGAGAGGAGAGAGAGAGAAGAGAGAGAAGAAATTTTCTGTAAATGTCGAGACGATCGACGAGTCTACTCTTCGAGCAATAAAATCCTCTAAAACTTCGTGAACGTAGGCAATTTGTCGAACCACTTAAATCTGTGTTTTTTTATTTTTTATTTTTTTTTGCGAATTTTTTTCAATCCGGGTTTTAGCTTTCTCGAATCATTTTTCACAACAATTGGTATCAAAGTCGTGGTTTGGATCTGAGGAAGAATGATGGTTGGAGAAGAAGTGAAGATTTCATGGATCGGGAAGTTCGATGACACAGATTTTGATTACTAGAGGATGCAAATAAATGACTTCCTCTATAGAAAAAAATTTCATCTTCCGTTATTGGGGAAAAGACCGAAAAAGATGAATGAGGCTGAATGAAATTTGTTGGAACGACAAGTTCTGGGGGTTATTCGATTGACAATGTCGAGGTTTGTTGCAAACGTCGTCAAGGAAAAGACTACTACAGATCTCATGATAGCCCTGTCAGGTATGTATGTAAAGCCGTCGACGAATAACAAGGTATATTTGATGAAAAAAGTTATTTAATTTAAAGATAGCGGAAGGTACGTCTGTTGTACAACACTTGAATGATTTTAATACTATCACAAATCAATTATTATCGTCTGTGAAAATTGAATTTGATGTGAAAATTGAATTTGATGATGAGATACGTACACTGATTTTATTGGTTTCATTGTCAATAGTTAGAAAGCCGTGAGGATAGCTGTCAGTAATTCTACAGGTAAATCTAAATTGAAATATGATGATATTCGTAATTTGATTTTAACTGAGGAGGTGCGCATGAAAGATTCTGGCGAGAACTTGGGTTCAAGTTCATCATTATATGTTGATTCCAAAGGGAGATCATAGGATAGGAACTCAAACAAAGAAAGATTAAAATCAAAGCACAGAGGTAGAAGCAAGTCAAGGTCTGGTAAACAAGCAACTTGCTAGAATTGTGGCAAAACTGACCACATAAAAAGGAATGCACTACTACTGGTAGTTCATAGTTTTGTTGATGACTGGATAATGGATTCATGGGCTTCTTTTCATACAACTTTCTACCGGGAATTAATGCAAAATTATGTTACAAGTGACTTTGGTAAATTCGACCTGGCAGATTGAGAAGCTTTGAATGTCGTAGGAATTGAAGACAATGACATTGCACTTCCAGACAACAAGTGAACTCTGCAAAAGGTCAGACATATTCCTGAACTGAAGAAGAATATTATTTCTGTTAGGCGACTTGATGAGTTTGTGCATGAAGTAGTATTCTCGGATAGCACCTGGAAGGTTACTCAAGAAGCACTGGTACTGGCTCAGGTTAAGAAAAAAAGTATGATATATAAAACTACTGGATCAATTAACAGTGTTGATACTACCAATGCAGAGAGCACAACAGAGTTGTGGCATTGCAAACTTGGCCACATGAATTAGAGGGATATGAAAGAACTTCAACTCAGAGGCAAGTTACCAGAACTGAAGTCAGTTGATCTCAACATGTGTGAGAGTTGAATTATGAGGAAACAAAAAAATATGAGTTTCTTGAAAAGTGATAGAACGCCAAAGACCGAAAAACTGGATCTTGTACACACGGATGTATGGGGACCTTCTCCAGTAGCATCTCTTGTAGGCTCTCGTTACTATTTCACATGCATTGATGATCATAGCAGAAAGGTATGGATTTATCTCTTAAAGCATAAATCTGATATATTTAATGTGCTCACGACTTGGAAGGTCATGATTGAGACAGAGAAAGGTTCAAAACTGAAATGTCTGAGGTCTGATAATAATGGTGAGTACATTGATAGTGGGTTCAAGGAGTATTGTGCAACTCAAGGTATCAGAATGGAGAAAACCAAACCATTCCAGGGACACCACACCAGGGACACCACAACAAAATGATGTTGCAGAGCACATGAACAAGAACATTAATGAGCGAGCTAGAAGCATGAGATTGCACGTTGGACTACCACCTATTTTCTAGGCAAAAACGGTCAGCACTGCAGTTTATTTGATAACAGGAGATCATTTGTTCCATTACATTGTGAATTGCCTAAAAAGGACTGGAGTGGGAAAGAAGTCAAATTCTCTCACCTTAAAATTTTTTGTTGTCTTTCTTATATTCTAATTAATCTTGATTATCTAAGAAAACATGAGAATAAGTCAAAGAAGTGTTATTTCATTGGCTATGGAGAAGAGACATTTGGATATCGTTTCTGGGATGATCAGGATTGGAAGATCATAAGAAGCAGAATCTGAGACAAGATCAATACAAATTCTAAAATAGTACCGCAGGAATCTGAGTTGGTAAGGTTTGATGATTTACCAGAGGTCACAGTGCAGGACAGAGATGCAAGTGACGAGGAGAGTGGGTTCGAGGCACCCATTCCTATTATTCTGCTGTCAGTTTCAGAGTAGTCTACCCCTACAGGTACAGTTAGCATATCAGAAAGAACTAGATGTTCTCCACAGCGTTACCCACCAACTTTGAACTACATCCTGCTAACAGATAGTGAAGAACCACAGAGCTATGAAGAAAACTTGGCAGATAAAAATTCTAGCAAGTTGGAGTTGTCCATGGAGGAGATGAATTCCCTATTGGGAAATCAGACATGGGATCTGACAAAACATCCACCAGGAAAGAAGGTATAGCACAACAAGTGGGTGCAACGGATGAAGACTAAGTTTGATGGCAGTAAGAGGTACAAGGTCAGACTTGTTCTAAAAGGCTTTCGGCAGAGACGGGGTATTCACTAATCTAAGAACTCTTCTCCTGTGGAGAAGATCACAACCATCAAGATGGTATTGGCTATAGTTGTTTCTGAAGATCTATTCATTGAGCAGTTAGAGGTGACGACAGCTTTTTTTCATGGAGATCTTGAAGAAGACATCTACATGCACCAACCTGAAATGTTCGTGGTACAGTGAAAGGAAGATTCAGTTTGCAGACTGAAAAAGAACTTATATGGCTTGAATCAAACTCCTAGACAACTGTAAAGGAAGTTTGATAATTTCATGCAAAATGCAAGACACAACAGATGTCAAGCAGATCACTGTTGTTATGTCAGGCACTTTGATAATTCTTATATCATCCTGTTGCTATATGTGGATGATATGCTTATTGCAGGGGCCAATATTGATGAAAATAATAATCTGAAGAGACGGATGTCAGAGCACTTTATAATAAAGGATTTGGGAGCGGCAAAACAAATCCTTAGCATGAGGATTGTCAGAGGCAGAATCAGAGGCACGTTGAGGCTTTCACGGGCTGAATATGTGAAAATTATGCTTAGCAAGTTCAACATGGATAAGGCCAGAGTAGTTGGCACACCTTTGGGGAGTCAGTCACTCAAGTCAGAGGAGAAACAAGACTACATGAGTAAGGTTTCTTACGCTTCAGCTATTGATTCACTTATGTATGTTATGGTTTGCACAAGACCGGATATTGTTTGTGCAGTGGGAGTTGTGAGCAGATAAATGAGTAATCCAAAGAAGGAATATTAGGAAGCTATGAAATAGATCTTAAGATACCTAAGAGACTCCTCAAAAACCTGCTTGTGTTTCTCAGGAAATAGCTTGGAGGTACAAGACTTTGTCAATGCAGATTTAGCTGGAAACATTGACAGTAGAAAAAGTATTACATGTTATGTTTATACTCATGGTGGTACTGCAGAGTCATGGGGCTCAAAACTACAGAAAACAGTTTCGTTGTCCACTACAGAAGCTGAGTACATTGCAGTGTCAAAGGCTGCAAATAAGATGATATGGCTAAAAATTTTCTTAGAAGAATTGGGTATAGAGGTTCAAAATGGCACTCTCTACAGTGATAGTCAGAGCGTCATATTCCTTGCCAGGAATTCAGTATTTCAATCCAGAACCAAGTACATTCAGATTAGATATCACTTCATTTGATCTTTGTTAGATGACATACAATTGCAATTTGAGAAAATTTGTGGAAACAAGAACCCTGTTGATAAGTTGACTAAGAGTGTTACGCTTGAGAACCTAAAGTTGTGCTCTACAATTGGTCTTCTAGCCTGAAGACAAGAGCTTTGAGTTGCAGAAGTGGAGGATATCACGTTTGAAAAAAAGAGCGACGCAACCAGTGAATGGCGCAGTCAGTGTCCTATTCTCCAAATGGGAGAATTATTGGATTTGGAACCTATTCCCGCTAACTCCACCTCATGCGGCATTCTTCCCACGCATTTCCGCTTCCTCCACGCATTCCCACTTTCCTTCACGCGGTCCCGTGTTGTCGCTCTCCTCTTGCTGATCCAAAATGGGTCAAATTGAAAGCCTTTAAAGTCTCGACCGAAATTGAAGCAGGCAAGTGAAAATCCCAACCTCACCACCTCTTCGGCTGAAGTGTACAGGAAAAAAAGAAAGAAAACAGAAGGCTGCTCCTTCCCCCTTTTTGTTCACTTCGTTTTTCTAGCTTATCGAATAGAAAAGAGTTTTTTTTTCCCTTATTCTTCTTCACATGGTTTTGGGAGAGAGAGAGAGAGAAAAGGTGAGGAGAGAGAGAGGAAAAGAAATAGAAAATTTTCTATAAACGTTTAGGCGACCGACTGGTTTAATCCTCGAGCAATAAAATCCTCTGCAACTTCGTGGACGTAAGCAATTTGCCGAACCACGTAAATCTGTGTTTTTTTTTTCAAATTTTTCTCGATCCAGTTTTTGCTTTCTTGAATCGTTTTTCACAACATTGTCGTCCCACCAGAACTTCCTGAACGCCATTCCAGCCATCATAATCCCACCCGTCAACCCCTTTCCAGCGAGTTGCAGCACCAGTCGCCCCCTCCCAACTCCCCTCTAGTTTTGACAGGCGCTTTGATGTCCCCTAAACACCGTCGACACTTCCTCAGCCCCTCCGATCGAGTTCCACCACCACATCACCGTTGTCCAGGACTGTTTTTGATTTGCTCTTAAGCTTATTTTCTACAATCACTATTTTGTTTTACTATTTGTGTGTTCGTTTTGATGTTTACGTATTCATGTTTTCTATTTGGAGTCCTCATTCATCCATAATTTTCATTTTGAGGTTTATTTCCAATGGTGGAGGTGCCAACTTCGTGGCAAAGGCCACTATCTACTTTCTAGGACCCTTCATTAATATTTTCACCACCCTTGTTAGAGAGTGATTTTCGATGTTGGTACATGATTCATTGACATGAAAAAGTCTCAATGTCGAAGAATCTGTAAGCATCATAGGGTTGAACCAGAATGACACTTTCTGTCGCCTTGAAAATTAGAATGAGAGGTGATAAAAATGATAAATAGAAGATTTTATGATTTGATATTATTTCCTTATTCTATGTAAAAATACAGAAGAAAAATTCTATACAAGTGAAGAATTAACTATCAATGAAAGAAACAAATATGAAAATCAATTTTTAAATTTAGAATCCTAAATTCACTACAAAAAATAAATAGAATGCTGCTTTCCACGGATCATTAGATTATTATAAATAGAAAGGTGCCATCCATAAATTACTACTGTCATAAATGAAAAGCTGTTGTCCAAATATTTTTGGGTTATTATCAAAATAAGTCGGTCACCTATTTAAAATTATTTCAACAAATTTTCAAACTGTCCCCCACTGCATAACTTCTTAGCTCAAATAATGATAATTAATTATAAGAATTTATTCAAATAGTCAAAAACATGAATTTCATGCAATGATTATCAGTATGAAAAAACTCCTTTTCGTTTAAGAAGAATGCGAAAACGAACAAATCATATGATAGCAGTACACATGAGTGATTTCCCATAACAAGCACATAGAAAACAACCTATCAAAAGGAGAGTGAGCTGATTTTTAACTTGAGATTAAACTGTCATCAAATTGTGGTGTTAATAACCCAATGCGCCGAATAGAAGAACTGTTATTTAAACTGGAATAAGATGAGAACAATACCGGCGTTTAGTGGTTAGCTTCGAGCGAACAAATACTGTAGTACATAGAGTTTTGCAATTCCTTTGCCAAGCTGCTCCGTTTTAAATTTAACTGGAAAATATTATAGAAAGAGAGCAAAACCAAGGAATTAATATTAGATTCATAAAATAAACTCAATTCATTTATTTGAAAATTGAATTTACATCATAAATCCTTTGAATTTCTAATTTATAAGCATTACTTTAAATGTGTTCCATAACTTTTTGGAAAATTTACATACATATCACACAATTCTTATGTATTTACATATCTAACGTCTAAACTTACATATTTACATGCATAACACATTGGTGTAATAAACCTATGCATGAAAAGGTGTATTTCACTTTTAAGAAGTAGGTTATAGTGGTATTTTTTGATGTGATAATAAAGATTTGAGTGTTGTGCACGTAAATATGAAAGTTTGAGTGTTAGATATGTAAATATATAAGAGTTGTGTGGTATGCATGTAAATGCCCCTTGCATTAAACTTCTTACAGCTTCTGGATAAAGCGTTTTTGAAACTAAGCCCAGAGAGTTCCTTTTTATTTCTTTTACTACAACGGGATTCCGGTTGCTTTCTCAAGATGGCTCTGACCCTTTTTATTTAAAGTATAACTAAAAAATATTCTATAAAAATCCTAAACCTTATACCTAAAATTCTAAGTCCTGCAATCCAAGAACAGCAAATCACAAACCTCGAACCGGCGAAACATCTTCTTGACAATAGAGGTGTAAAAATGCACAACAACTTCTTCCAACACCAACATTTATGGTAAGCTTCATGTATTAGTTTGCCCATTTTATTCTAGAAAAAAGTTTCTGACCCATATGTATTGGTTGAAGGCTACTTTCTTCGTTCATATATTTATTGGGTCATAAATAATATCTCTTCTATCAAGAGTACAGTAATCCAGGCGCCTTGAAGCCCTAGGTAGGAGGAGAGTATAGAGAGACCGGAAAAGGGGTGCTAGCTATGCAGCGCCCAGGCGCCCTTTCAGGCAGATTGATAGTTTTGACGGTTCAATAGCATTATTTCACCAAGGAAGCGATAAATTTGCATACATCGAAACAAATGGGACACTCCTGGGTGAAAATTACTCTCTTTAAACTTGTAGAGTGTCCGAGAAAATTGTGAGGGTAGTTTGTGAGGGATTTCTATAGTGAGTTGTTTGTGTTATTCAGTAAAATTCAATGGAGAAAGAAAGAAGTCTAGTGCAGCCTTTCAAAGAGTAATTTTTCTAATTTTTTATTCCGAACTATTGTATTTGATTTGCTTTGGTGAATGAAATTTTCTTTTATCATTTCAAAGTATTTGTAACGCTAAGATTTTATTTTTCTCCTTTGAATTGGTATTCTAGGGGTTTAGTGATTACCTATGTTATGGTGATCTAAGAAGTTTGAATTATGGTGATGTTTTAACCTTGTGATCTTCATTTACTCTCAATCTGGCTAAGTTGATATAGTGAACTAAATAGTATTTTAGTTTTCAAATCTTCTTTGACAATCGAAAGGGGCTAAGGAGGAATGTTGTTCATAACCGGCACATTTAATATGATAACTTGGTTAAACCTAGATTTCCAAGTTCAGGGGAGAACTTTTCACTCGATAGAAATCTCACTACTTTTATTTAGGCCCTTTTTTTTGGGCAAAATTTAGGATATAGACTATTTAGTGACTTTAAAATTCACTTAAACTTTAACCTTTCAGGCTAAACTAAAGATTAGTAAGCTAGAAATTTGACTTAACTAAAACTAAATATGTTCCTCATGGGATCGTACAGACTCTTATTATGTATATTAATTAATCATGTATACTTGTGTGATTGTCGATGTTTCACAGCATTTCAAAAATTAATTTATTAGGATCGTTGTAGGAGAATGACATTAATTTACAATATTAGAGAATTTTAGTTAAACACTTAGAGTTTACACTTAAAACTTGTATTTTTATCTTTATTCAGTATATTATTTTGTGTGTATTTCATTTTTTTGTGTTGTTATTTACATAGTTAAAAACATTTACAAAAATATTACATCTAATTTTAATTGTGATAGTGTACTGATCAAAGGAAAATATATTGAGATTTTCATACCTATTTTACACTGTTTTTGATGATATTGCACTTTAAAGAAGGATATTTTTTATGTTTTGTTGCAGGTATGATTAATTATGGTCATTGGAGCAAAAAGATACAAAATCGTTGTAATTGGGAGCAAAAACGAGCAAGAAATGAAACTTTGTCCTGTCACCTTTCGATAAGTCTTTCGATGTTTAATCTATTTTACACTTCTTGCATATTTTTTAATGAGATTATACTTTAAAGGAAGGTTGTTTTCATGCTTATTTTGTAGGGCTATCTGTTAGGAACACAACGCAACTGAAATGGGGCGAAACAGAGCTAAAACGGAGCCAAACGGAGCGAAACGGTGGAGCTGCGCAGTCTGCTCGCCGACGGCGCCAAAACGGCACCGACAGAGAGATTTACCCGAGAAGACCGAAAAATGACAGAAAAGCTCGCCGACAGCGCCCGGGACGACTATGGTCCCTCGAGCCCACCGACAGCGCCCGAGACGAATATGGACCGACTTTTGGCGGTTATTGGCCGAAATTCAACGTATTTGGACGTTTTTTGAAAGGGTTCTTGTGGCAACTCTTCAAACTTCATCCCTACACTTTAAAAGAACGAATTTATGTTAGAAAAGGAGGATTTATGTGTGAGAGGAATGTTAGAAAAAGTGTGGAGAAAATTTAGGGTTTTTAGAATAGGAGTATTTAGGGTTTTTAGAATAGTTTT